AGGGCAGTCAGACAACATTTCAACTTTGAAAAATAACACATTGCATCAAGTATAATGGAAAACAATAATAGGCTCTGATACCACTGATGGGTTTTGCTATACTACAACATCCTATGGTGCACATACAACCTTAAATGCTTTGGATCGATGTTTTCTCTAATTATACATGGAATATTGTTTCCAAAGCATTAAGCCTAAAACTAGCATACAATTGATATAAACAACGTGGAATTAAGTCATAGAATTACCTCTTTGTTGTATCTTGTAGAACTTCTTGAGTTTGGCCTTTAAGAACTTAGTGCCCCAAGTGTTGCACCTCAAATGGAATCACAACACACCTTTGGACAAAGGATGACTTTTGAGAGAATATCCTAACACCAAAAATCGGCTTAATGATCTCCAAGAACACTAGTGTGTCTAGTAGCATATTTTGGATGCTAAGGGGCTTCTTATATAGTGTGGCAAGATTAGGGTTAAACCATGTAAACCCTAATGTGTATGACCTTCCATATTCCTTAGACTTCATGGGTTTAAACCCCCATGGATCATCCATGGGTTGTAACATTGGTTTAGCCCAACCTAAAGAATCATGGATCATTGGCCCACACCATCAGAATGAATGATTTACCAAATCAACCCCCATATATTTAATTAGTCTCTTTTGATCACAAAATTAATTCCAAATTAATTATTGATCAATACTAATTAAATCATATGATTTCATATTAATATATTAGAACTTATAATATATTATCAAATCATAAATAACCTCTTCTCAAAAGTCCATCCTATCAAATTGTCCTGGTGATATGCAACCCAAATGCACCATGCTACTCTTGGATCAAGTACATACCAATTATAGTTATGGGCTTAGACACCTAATCCAACAGTTCACTCCCAGTCGATTTCATGGATATAAATTTTATCTAAAATGTAGCAAGGGTATGACTGTTGTTGGGCTAAGGTATCCTTTCGATTTTTAATATGTATTTTTATTTGCGTAAGTAATGAGTTGTGAATGGTTGATAAACCCGATGTAGTATTTGAAACTCTTAACACAGTGTTGTTATGAGCTGGCCGACAAAGAAATAGATAAAGAGTTTTCGTTGTAGAAATCTTGATTAGATAACGAGGGTTGTAAACCCTAGTTTACATGATTATTCGACAGCAAGATTAGACTATTGACTTAGGGAGTTAAGACATTTGGTAATGGTTTTGAGGAGCTTAGTGATTTGGTAACAAATGGTTACCTAGTTGTTTTAGTGATCAGGAAAAAGTCAATGTAATAGATATGATAAATAAGCTCCTAAGTGTATTGGGACAAGTTCTAAGGAACTTGGTATTTTTGTCTATATAGGTTAGACAAATGTTTGAACTAAGAGATAGTGTGAGGCTAGAAGCCAGATCAAAAGTTAGTCTTCACTAACTGACCTAGTGAGTACATGTGGATTTTTCTATTTGGGATACATAGCATATTAGTAAAGTTTTATGTGAAAAGCTTGAAAGTGATTTAGAAATTTTTGTTGTTGTTGAAAAGGTAATCTATCCTAGCTAGAAATTAAATGAACTCTTTTTCTAAAGGGTAAGCTAAATGTTTTGAAAGGAAAATATTTTTGAACAAAGAAGCTCTTTAATGAGAAATAGTTAGCTAGCTACGATTTGTTACATGAATTATTGAAAAGGATTAAAGAACTATATTTACAGTTAAATTATGTTTGAATATTTTACTATGCAATGTTATTAATGAAAGTGCATGACCATAGCATTAATCATTTGTGCGTGATTGAGTCAGTAAAAGAATAGAGTTGATTACGCATCATATGAACGAATTACATAGTTCCGAGAAAGTACCGCCTATACCTAGGGGTCCGCATGGAGACTAGTTACGGGGCCTTGCCTGGATGACCTGTTCTCCAATAAAGCTCAGCGTTCTGAGTCACTTATATGACTAGTCCATTTGGGGTGTATTTATCGGGCCTTGTTCAATATATTTCGATAATGGTCAGTGTTCTGAGTCACTTTATGTGACTAGCCAAATTTGGGGTGGTCCTTATGGACATAAGATCCAACAGATAGCTGAGACTCGAGAAGGCCCGAGAAGAATTGCATTGAGTGAAAACATGGGTAACATGCTTTGCATTATATTTATAAGTGTATGCCAAATTATAGTTTGATCAAATGATTTTGATAATAATTTTGTGTCTAAACCCATGTAGCTCATGAGATAATGATTGTCTTACATATTTGTTAAATGTCATTTATTCCAGGTATTTAGAAGCATCCTAGAGACTTGTGTTGAGACAGATAGCACAAAGCAAATGGATAGAAAGTGAGCATAGCTTCTGTGATGTAAGAAACCTTGTAGCTTTACTCTGGTTTATTTGTATTGGTTGTAATGCCCGAAAGAATATTTTTACAAATGTATTTGTAAATGAAATGAGAAAATTTTAGGACTATATTTTATAAATGAGACCCATTGACAATAAATGTTTTATAAACTATAATATTTTAATGTGTAAAAGATCGGGTGTTATTCAATTTAAAAAAGCAACTGACTTGCAACTAAATTACCATTGTTGAATCACGAATCACCAATATATCAAACTTACATTTATGTGGTTAAGTTGTTGTTTGAGCTATTGTTGTCATACTTGCAAAGTTATACATTGCTCAATGTTGATGTGAGAAATGAAAATTTAAACTATAAAAAATAACAAAAGTCTACTATAAAAATGCACTCAATCAGACATGCACATTATAACATATATATATATATATATATATATATATATATATATATATATATATATATATATATATATATATATATATATATATATATATGTGTATATATATATATATATATATATGTATTGCTTAAAAATGGAAAAAATTAACAACATTATACTATAAAAATAATACTCCCTCCGTCCCATAATTATTGTCTACGTTTGACTTTTGAAGTCTTTCTATGTCAACTTTGACTATAAATAACTTTATTTGTGTTATATAATTTTTGATGAAACTTATAACAATGAAAATACATTAAAAAAATCTATTCATGTATCTAGCATAAAAAAATATATAACAAAAAGTAAATTACTTAAGGTCAAAGTTGAACAAAGAGACTTAAAAAGTCAAATGTGGACAATAATTTTGAGACAGAGAGAGTAAAAATCTACCTTAGAGTTAAGTGATTTTTTTATCAAACATGCTAAAAACTCTTTTGCATCACATAATGGGAAAAAATAAGCCCAAAGTATTATAAATGAGACTATGTATAAAGAAAAAGTAGATAATACAAAATAAGATGTTAAATTAGGATGAAAGATATAAACAAATGCAAATATTTTTTATTCGAGGTGTAATGAAATTACAAGTGAAAACATTTAATTTGAGGATAACTACTACCGATGCAAGTGTGCAAGTATCAACAATTCAAAATGATATGAGACAATTTTATACATGGTCTCCATTCTTCAATAATTGTTTCTTGCTCGTCAGCTTGATTTTCATTGTTTACTCCTTAGGAATATGATATGAGACTGATTAAGATACATCATTGTAATTAAAGTGACAAAAATCCGAAAAAAAATTGAGAATCATTTAATCAACTACGTATATTATTCTGTTGTGTGCAAGAAATCCGAAAATTCATATATATATATATATATATATATATATATATATATATATTAAAAGGGGACAATCTTTAGGAACAGTAAAGTTCCTAAGGAGTTGTCAAAACTGGTCCTTTGTTTATGGATATTTTGGCTTTGTTACTGCCGGTTTTTCTTTGGGCGTTTTATGTCATTTTGTCAATTCTTTAGGTGTATGGGTCTATGCGTTTCCTAGACACGTATCTTCCACCACCTTTGCCCTCCAATGGCTTTAATCCACATACGTAACACTTGCCTGCTCCTCAGCCCGATAGTTCTCACTGCTCTGCTTCTTTGAGAAAACCCCCACCGCCTCTGCGTCCATGTTATGCTCATCGCCCCTCACTCTCAATCAGCTGCTCCACCGCTTTTGTTACCCACCCGGGTGTTCATCGGGTTACTGTCTACCATGGTCACCGCCTCCACCGCTTACTTCCTATGTGTGTTCCATCTTCTCTTTTCTATTCTCACTCTACCCATTACCATCTCTAAATGGGTGCAGCAATAACAAATCGGAGAGGAAAACTAAGGAATCGGCAAAGTAGTCGGCGTCTGGTCGTGTCGAAGACTGATTCCTGTCGCCGCTGACGTAAAGGCTTTTGCGTATCGGCTATTTCACGTACAAATTTTCTTCAAGGTCTGCTTCTATATCACTTCTTCTCCCGTTGTTCCTCCCATATGCGACGGATTTCTTGAATCCGTTTGTTAATGTGATTTTTAATTTTCCCAGCAATTCCACTTAACTTCAAATGCTAACTATTTATGACAGATGCAACATGGTTACATGGAGCATGATTCCCAAGCTTGGTTATGTGTTATAACTGGTCTTATGAAAAAGACTAAATAAGATATTTTGGTAATTCTTTAATGCATATTAAGATTTATGTTACTTGATGCATGTTTGGTTTCTTGATCCTTTATTTATTTAAGTCGTTTCTTTACCCTTTGGAGTTTATGTTTATATCTTAGTTGTCTGATGTGATTGCTTTATCTACATATGGAATGCATCAGGTATTTATCTGTGAACAGAAGCTTTATTCCAAAGCCCAATTAAAACAACATATAAACACATGCGACTCTGCCTCCAACGACAATGCTCACCATACGTCTGTTTTAGGTATGACACTCTGCAATCGATTTCATTTTGCTTCTCTTCGACCAGTCTAACTGCAACAACTAAGCAACTGGAAAAGGTCCACATGGAATTTGACAAAAGATTGATCCATTCATCTTCTCTTGGTAAGATTTTTCCCAAAAGGAATACAATTTTTTCCATTTTTGTGTTATAATTTTGTTATAGATGTTAGAAATTCTTAATTTTGTTTATTTTTAAACCAAAAAATGGAGAAACAATCTGAACAATTGAGGGACATATCAAGTAGATATGAACATGACAAGAAAGTTTGGGTGGCTGCAGTCAAGGAACTATCACACAGAATAACGGTAATTAATTAATTAATTACTAACTAATTAACACAAATATTACATAGTATAATCAAAATATATATATTTTTTAACCTTATTCATGAATTAGGTATTGAAACCAGACCACTCTCAGCTCTCTCTTCAAGCACACCACTGTGCTAATTCAGTTCCTGATCTCAATAACATGGTTTCTGTAGTTCAAGCATTGGGCGGGTAAATTAGTAAATTCATGATTAAATTTTCACCCTCTTGGAAGTTTTAACATTTTCTATCATTACTTTTACTTGCACAATGTGAGGATCTTAAAGTCAAATACAACGAACAACAAATCAAGAGAAGAAAGCTTCATAATCAACTTGATGATACAAAAGGTGTGCAAACTTTTTCTTTTTCTTTTTCTTTTTTTTAACAAACATATAAACTTTTCTAACTTTCTATAAATACTAATTCTTTTTATAATTTCAGGGAACACACAGGTGTTTTGCAGATGACGTCCACCAAGCAAACACGAAACTTTGACCGTATGGTTAACCATGGTTGACTTTGATTCATCTTCAAACGGAGAACTTGGTGTTCTTAATAGTGGTTCCACTAAAAAGACATTTACATTCTCTATAGTCTTCACACCAAATGTCAATCAAGGTTTGACAAACTTACTATACAAATAATGCCCTTATATATATATATATATATATATATATATATATATATATATATATATATATATATATATATATATATATATTAAACAGTTGATGTTTTTGCACCTGCTTCACCATTGGCGACTTCAGTTTTCGATGGATATGACGTGTGCATATTTGCATATGGTCAAACAGAGATAGGAAAGACATTTACCATGGAGGGTATTGACGGAAATCGAGGGATTAGTTACAAAACACTAGAGGAATTATTCAAAATTGCAAAAGAAAGAATTGATACTTTTACTTATGACATTACAGTTAGTGTGTTGGAAGTTTATAATGAACAAATAAGAGATCTACTTGCAACACCATCCTCAACCTCCAAAAAGTAAAAATACTATTTTATTTCATTACATCAGTTAACTTAAATGTATACAAATGCAATAATACAAAATTTTCTTGAAAATATACACTGGAAATAAAACAAGCATCTGAAGGGTTTCACAATGTTATTGGTTTAGTAGAAGCTAAAGTTGAGAACATAAAAGAAGCTTGGAATGTATTACAAGCTGGAAGTAGTGCAAGAGTTGTAGGATCAAATAATGTGAATGAACATAGCAGCATATCTCATTAGTAAGTACAAATATATCAATTTACTTTATTACCCTTTATACTAATATATTTACTTACATTTTCCCAACATATGATAGGAAAATTACAGGATTTGTAATTGTAATAGGCTAATAGCAACATACTATATTTTTATACATTGCCATTATAGGTAAAAAATAAACTACATTGCTATTATTTGTAAAGAAATGTAAGTATGTTGCTATTATGGGTAAAAAGGTAAATACAGTTTCTTTTTAGAGGTAATAGCAATGTAACTCATAAGTCATAACAACAATGTACTTACAATTTCATTAATCGCAGTGTACTTCTGTTTTTTTATATACCATCACACTTTCATTGGGTTTTTTTACTAATCTAAAATCGCATATTGTGCAGGTTGAATTTTTATTGACCTTTTTATGTAAATAAATAGCAACCTACTTTTATTTCCTATTTTACCAATACGAATGTAATTTCATTTTTTTGTCAAATATAACATAATACTTTCATTTTCTATTTTGTCAAGTATAGAAAAATGAAAGTAGAGTGCTATATATGAGTGTATACTCAAAACTGCAAACCGCCGCACCTCATTTATAATATCCCAAGTACATTGGTATTTTTTATTTGTCTGTTGTTTGTTTGTTGTGTGATGTGTGATGTATGTATGTGCTAACTGATGTGTTCGTCGATCTTGCAACTGAAGTACTAACAAGTTGAATGTTCTCATCAAAAATCTCCTTCAAGAACGAAGCTCAAACAATAACACCCTCTTTAACCTAATGTCGTGTTCAAAGTATAAACAAATAGTTCACATCTGACCCCGCAACGCGGGGTCACTCACCTAGTTGGACATAATGCTTTGCTGGTTTGCGTGTGTTTGACTATTATATATATTATTATCCTATTATCTTCCATTTTAATTCCTTATTTAATTAATATAATTACCTATTATATATATATATATATATATATATATATATATATGTGTGTGTGTGTGTGTGTGTGTGTGTGTCACAACTAGAAAATTTTTGGCCAAACAAAGTCTAAGGGGTCTTGTGTATAAGGGCACCCACAATGTATATATATATATATATATATATATATATATATATATATATATATATATGCACACTTTGATAATCATGTTCGTAAATAAACAGTTGAGGGTCAAGCTAAATCGTTGGAACATAATCATAGATTATAACTTTACTTCATAGTCTTAGGCCTAGAACCCCACTAAGGTCAAAATCACCTAAGGAATCCAAACCATTAGGACCGAAATCACCCTAGTGGGTGATACATGAACCGAAAACACAAGCTAGGGAGGATTCAAAATTGAAATCACAAACTAAAAAGGGGCTAGAACCGAAATCAAAAGCCTAGGACACACCTAAGCCGAAATCAAACAAGTCTAGGCCGAAATCACTTGGGATTTCGGCCATATTATGGGAATTTCAAAGGGATTTCGGTTTAAGAGAAGTAAAAGATAAGGTTAATTGACTTTATGACTTGATATCTCACCCAATTCCAATAAGATAACAGTATCCCACGTATTACCCATCAAATATCCATGTACTAACCCCCAGATTACCAAGTAAACATCCTATCAATCCCCTTCTTTTATTAATGACGAGATCACCACTTAGGACCTTCCCCATTTCCAATTTAAACTTCCAGTAAACTTCATTTCCTCTCAAGAGCAAATTCCAAGCTTACAAGTTCAAAAATCCTTCAAGTGATCCTTAGACTTTTGGTAAGTAATTTTCATGATACCCTAGTATTCTTATACCTTTTATGTTAGTATCATCATTTTTATACACATTAATATGTGTTAAACACTTAGGATAATAACATTTCCAAGAAGTTCATCCACACCATCCAAGAGTTTAGGCTTGGAAATTTTCTCATCATCACCTCAAGCAACCCATAAAACCACTCAACGTGAGTTCATACCCCCATATTTTCAAGCTTTTTCATGTGTTTAGGGAGGGGGGATACAAGTAAAACTTTGTTATCACACAAATACTTACATGTTTGCATCTCTATGTTAAAAATAAGATATTATTTGCATAAGGTATGATTATCACTACTTTTATACAACATTCATGATATATTAGTTTTGATATGCAAAGTTAACTAAAATATAGCTCATTATATACTACAAATGTCATAAGAAAAGCATGATTTGGAAAACTACAAGGTTTTGGCAACTTTAACTAAAAGATAGTTTTTCTAGCAAAAATGGTTATAATATAGTTATTTACTATTTTGGTGGGTTACAACCCAAAGACATTATTTTTTGACTACATATTTTGACACTAGGCAAGATTACAACTTTATATTTATATAAAAGATTTATATAGATAGTCTCAACAAACATATAAGATAAACTATAACTGGTATAGTTTGGGAGTCATAAAACCACACTTTCATTTCAAAAGAACCATATAATTATTCAAATGTATAATTATTTCATTTTACAAGAAAATGGAGTCATAGTTCACGTAACTCAGTTGATGCTCTTGTGAGACATTCTCTTCTGTGTACCTACCTAGTGTATACCTTAAGTCCTGCATTATAACCAGAGTCTCCTTGAGGGAGAGCGAGATAGCTGTGTATAGATCTATACGGGAGTGTTAACCCCACACCTCAGGTGTTAGCTACAGTTAGACCGGCAAGTCTAGGGTGACAAATGTCTACCAGTTCCGACGCCTGAAGAACGTCGTTCATGCATATCTATCATATTAGCATGGTGATAATAACCCACATAGGGATTAACGAAACTACTCAGTTTACGGGGTAACTTACACTTCACTCGTTTTATAAGAAAATAAAACTACATACTATTTTTCAGTACAACATTTCTTACATTTTTGGTCTTAGGGTTTAAGACTACAATTCACATTTAAGAAACTATTGGATTTTCTGGAAACTTACATTATCATTTTACAAGAAAGAGATACAAAGGAAATACATACATTCTAGTCTTGAGTATGAAACTTACAGCTCGTCTTTAAAGAAAATATCAGATTTTCTAGAAGTATACAAAAATCATTTTACACGAAACTGTTACAAATCCTTCTCATACAAAATGTTTATGAACTCACCAACTTAATTGTTGACACTTTTCAAAATCACTTGTATTCTTAGGAAAACCAGTAAACAGTTATTCAAACCATTTTGAGGGCAGACATTGCTGCATCATGAATTCTACTTTTCAGTTACATGTATTTGAGTTTTGAACAAACAGCGTTTGTAAACAATGTAAACTTGTAATCTCAATGTATGATGTTTTGGGTTGCTATGATTCATTTATATTCAATTGTTATGATACTGTGAAATGACGTCATCCACCCTCGGACGTTTCCGCCTTTTCCGGTTCGGGGGTGTGACAGATTGGTATCAGAGCATTGTTTATAGTGAACTAGTATATCAAACCATACAAATATATACAACTATAAATACAACGGGGCTAAAACACTCTAACTACAAATATGCCTTTAAAAATATAATAATATTTTAAGTAAAGTATAAGTACACACAAATTAGGGCAGTGTCATAACGAAAGCATAATAAAAGTAGTATGATGAGTTGAAAACTATGGGTAGGCCTTGGGATATGTAATTAGACCTTGAATAAATATAGCATGATCAACTATATTTATCCAAGGTGTGCCTAACATATGCTGGGGAATGGTCGTGGTGAACAACGAGTCTAACCTTACCAAATATCAAGAACTTTAGAATCAAACATAAACAATTAAAATACTATAGGAGTATTTTAGGATACATACACTAAAACTCTTCATGCATTTCTCACATCTCCATTCTCGCACAGACATCATGGCAGGATTTCACCTACCTGGACACCCCTACTTTCCCAACCAGGGAAATGGTGGATGGATCGACGAGGATCCCGAAGAGGATCCTGAGGAACTAATGGAGGAGGAACCCGAGGAGGATCCCGAAGAGGATCGAGAGGTGGAGGAAGAGGAAGAAGAAGAAGAGGAAGAGGAAGAGGAGGAATCGGATGCAGAGTCCGAAGTCGAAAATCCTCCTTACGTCGCCTGAGTCCCCGCACACCGTGTAGGCTATAATGGACCCACGCCCCGTTGGGCGGAAGACTTGGAGAGGTGGAGCCGGCAACAACACCAGCACCCGCCCTACGACATGCAACGAGGTTTCTATAAACTCAGCAATGGAGGACCGGCAGATAGGGCTCTTCATGTCATGATACAGCGCATCTCCCACTGACGCACAGACTCGACTTATGGAGAGGGACTACC